CGCCAAGTGCATGAAAATATGCGGCCTCTCGGCGTTTGGACCTTGACGCTGAGTGGCCGCATATTCGCATGCAATTAGAAAATAAATATGAGCTGAGAGCCACGCCCTGAGCAATCCAAGCACATATGTCCGTGACTCACGGAAAGGTCCCGATCAAAAGGGGAGAGATTGGGACCTTTTCCGATCATGTGACCGCCGTGATGGCGAATCACAGCGGTCACATGACCCTAAAACCCAGCCCGTTTGCTGGCTTCTGAAGCTCTTAAAGGACCGGGAGGCACCGGCACGAAGTGGTTAAGTATAATTACAAGCATTTCATAAGTGTCAAAGGATTTTTGACAATTACATTAAGTTTATGCAGAGTTAATATTTGCCGTTTTGACCCATTTTTTTTACCTCTGCAGTTCTCCCTGGCATGCTGTCAATCAACGTCTGGACCACATCCTGACTGATGGCAGAGCCCATTGTTGCATAATCAATGCTTGGAGTTTGTCAGAATTTGGGGGGAAGGGGGGGGGGGGGGGGGGTCACCTGCCTCTTAAGGATTGACGACAAATTCTCAATAGGATTAAGGTCAGGGGAGTTTCCTGGCCATGGACCCAGAATGTTGACGTTTTGTTCCCCAAGCCACTTAGTTGTCACTTTTGCCTTATGGCAAGGATCTCCATCATGCTGGGAAAGGCATTGTTCCTCACCAAACTGTTCTTGGATGGTTAGGAGAATTTGCTCTCGGAGGATTTCTTTGTACCATTCTTTATTCGTAGCTGTGTTCTTAGGCAAAATTGTGAGTGAGCCCACTCCCTTGAGAAGCAACGCCACGCATGAATGGTCCCAGGATGCTTTACTTTTGGCATGATACAAGACCGATGGTAGCACTCGCCTTTTCTTCTCCAGATGCGTTTTTTTCCGGATGCCCCAAACAATCAGAAAGGGGTATCAGCAGAGAAAATGACTTTACCCCAGTCCTTAGTATTCCAATCCTTTTGCAGAATATCAGTCTGTTCCAGATTTTTTTTCCTGGAGAGAAGTGGCTTCTTTACTGCCTTTCTTGACACCAGGACATTCTCCAAAAGTCTTCTCCTCATGGTGCATGTAGATGCACTCACACTTGCCTGCTGCCATTCCTGAGCAAGCTCTGCACTGGTGGTGCCCCGATCCTGCAGCTGAATCAACATTAGGAGGCCGTCCTGGCACTTGCTGGACTTTCTTGGGGCACCTGAAGCCTTTTTCACAACAATTGAATGTCTCTCCTTGAAGTTCTTGATGATTTGATAAATGGCTGATTTAGGTGCAATCTTAGTAGCAGCAATATCCTTGCCTGTGAATCCCTTTTTGTGCAAAGCAATGACGACTGCACGTGTTTCCTTGCAGGTAACAATGGTTAACAGAGGAAGAACGATAATTTCAAGCACCACCCTCCTTTTAAAGCTTCCAGTCTGTTATTCCAACTCAATCAGCATGACAGAGTGATCTCCAGCCTTGTCCTCATCAATGCTGACACCTGTGTTAATCACTGACATGATGTCAGCTGGTCCTTTTGTGGCATGGCTGAAATGCAGTGGAAATGCTTTTTTTGGGATTAAATTCATTTTCATGGCAAAAAGGGATTTTGCAATTAATTGCAATTCATCTGATCACTCTTCATACAAACTGCCAACATAAAAACTGAGGCAGCAGTGTTTTTGGTGATAAATTCAAGGACTACTTTTTTTTTTTTATTTTAGTCCAATTTCTTTGGCATTTGATAGATTTTCCCACTTGCCCCCAATTTCCTTTAAGTGGTTGTAAAGGCTTGTTTTTTACCTTCATGCATTCTGTGCATAAAGGTAAAAAACCTTTTGTGTGCAGCCCCCCTTATACTTACCTTAGCCCCATCGCGATCCAGTGATGTGCACAAGAGCCTCTGCTCTCCAGGGACTCTCCCACCTCATTGGCTAAGATAGTAGCGGGAGCCAATTACAGCAGGTGAGTCAGTACGAAGAGAGAGGGAGTGGGGCCAAGCCACGGCTCTGTGTATGAATGGACACACAGGCAGTGGCTCTGGAGCGAGCCTGTTTGGGTGCCCCCATAGCAAGCTGCTTGCTGTAGAGGCACTTGGCTGGAGAGAGGAACCAGGAGCACTGGCAGGGGACCCCAGAAAAGAAGAATCAGGGCTGTTCTGTGCAAAACCACTGTACAGAGCAAGTATGACAAGTTTGATGTTTTTTAAAAAAGAAAAAATTGCCTTTAATATTAGAAAATCCAAATTCATAGTCAGATGTTTGATTGCAGTTTGTTTCAACCATAACAGAAGAATAAGTGTGCATTTACATGGGCAATTAGAACAACCTGCAGTTTCCAATGGCAAGATATGCTGTTTTCTGCATCTGGAATGGCAGGTGTGTAAGTCGCAGTCATTCAGCCCATATAAAGCAATGATAGGCTGATGTTGGCCGCAGCTATTTGTGACTCACAGCCAGCAATTCCCTGCAGTAATCATGGCTGGGTGCTGACAGAATGCTTGCAACCATGATACAAGGGACAGTAATCTATGTTCTGCTTTTTACAGCTAGCAGCGATGCTTTGCGTTGCTGCAAGCTGTCAGACCTGGCTGTCACTAATTGCTACAGTGCCTGCTAAAGACTGGAAACCAATTAAAGTTGTTCCCAATCATGTGAATATTGTAGGGTCAACTTATTAAAGGCAACTAGGCTGATCAACTTTGCAAGGGAATTTGCCCTAGAGCTTGGTGTATGAGTTGACGCTCTTCTGACTTCTGTCATCGAGTCTTTGCAAAGTGAAACCTTTCCACATTCACCAAGCTTTGGGGCAAATTCCCTTGTGAAGTACAACTTCCCTTGCGAAGTGAACAGCCTGTTTGTCTTTAGTAAACCAACCCCTATGTAATCTATGTCAGTGGTTCTTAACCTGGGTTCGATCGAACCCCAGGGGTTCGGTGAGTCAGTCTCGTGGGTTCGGCAGAGGTGAAGACCCACACCCGACTCATATGATTCGTGCAGTAAATATTCATTATTATGTTTTTGTGTGTGAAAATCATGTTTTAATGGTTTTGTTCTTTGTTCTTAATGGTTTTGTTCATTTTGCGCACCTATGTATAAATATATACCTAAATATATACCTATGTTTTGAATTTGAAAAATCATATTTTATTTTTCCAATTAAGAAGGGTTCGGTGAATGCGCATATGAAACTGGGGGGGTTCAGTACCTCCAACAAGGTTAAGAACCACTGATCTATGTTAAAGTAAACGGGGGAAAGTTTAACATCCTTCAGTTTGCAGATGGTGTCCTTTTTATTATTGTAAATATATTTTACATACATACACACTGAAGCTGGTAAATGTGATCTAGACATTTAGACTTAACCACCTAAGCTAAGGTTTTACCCCCTTCACGACAGGCCATTTTTTACTATTCAGCACTGCGCTACTTTAACTGGAAATTGTTTGGTCATGCAATGCTGTAAGCAAATTAAATTAAATTAACATAATTTTTTTACACAAATAGAGCTATCTTTTGGTGGTATTTGATCACCACTGGGTTATTTTTATTATATAAACGAAGACTGAGAATTTTACATTCATAACAGCTGTGGTTTTACTATTGTGATCTGTGATTCTGGCCCACAGCTATCACATGGTACAGGGTGCTGTGATTAGCTCATGTACCATGGGATAGCTGTGGGCCAATTGCAGCTAACTATAGGAAACACAGCTGTTATGAATGGAATTCATTTATAACAGCTGTATTGACATTGTGATCTTGTGATTGCATAGCAATCACATGATCCCCCAGCCAATCACAGCAGCTGGGGGATCAAGTGTGTGCGCACATTCTAAATGACATACAGGTACGTCACTTATCCTGTAGCTGTCACCTGTCCACAGTATATGTACTGTGGGCTATTGGCAACTGGGTAACTGACCTCATGGTCATAGAAAGGTCAAATTACCTTTTACTGTTAAATGCACTTCTTGCCCTCCCACTGCAGTGCTCTATGCTGTCATAGCTGAGTAACAACCACACCCCTCATTAAATAGACCTGCAGTGCTGAATAGAATGGGCCATATTTGACCAGCTCTTTTGGGTTGTGTGTTACTTTTTTGCCTACTGGACTATGAAAATGAAAGTCATTAGTGCAATGACTAGCAGACTTAATATCTATTTCTGTGACCTCAATTATCCTTTAAAACTTTTATGCACATAGATCGCTGTTTACGTTTGGACTTTTTTAGGGTGGATTTGCTTGTTTCATGAACATTCATGCACTCTAAGGTCTCCTAAACAGATCATAAAAATGGACCGTGTCCCCAGCCCCGACCTCCCCTTTCCAGCCTCCAGGCCATAAAAATGTGTGTTGAGTCAAATGGCTCAGAATAAAAAGGAGCCTAATAAAGCATTTGATTTGTGTTACCCCTCATCTTATAGCAGTGAATGTTGCCTGCCCTGCCTAGGCCACTCCATACTCTACAGCCCCATTCACTTTATTGCTTCCCCAGAAGACATTCTTAGCAGAAAGCAGGATAAACAGTAAATTGCCGAGTTGCTTGCGACTTCTTTTCATTGCTAAGCTCAAATCTGTCACATCATTGACCTGAAAATCGGAAAGTATGTGGATGCCCATATCTGTATGGGCTACTATGTTTCAAAGATCTCATAATTTTAGAGAATGAAAAGTAATATTCTAAATACAACAGCAGTTAACCAGAAACCAGTTTGCAATACAGCATCATACATAGCTGAGGTAGATAACACCAGTTTCCTAATCATGTGAAATCGTTTGGCAGGCCATAAGTTCATGTATAGGTATTTTAGGCTTTTGCCTGGAGCTGCCAAGGGGGCCAAGTTCAGCAGTTTGAATTACAGCAAAAACAGATCAACTTTGGTTTTAAAGCCCTGCTGCAGAAAAACACTCTTGAAATAGTTCCTATAGTTTTTCAGTTATAAATCCAATGCTCACAATTATGCAAAAATATTTGAGAATAAAAAACAGATCCATACCTGACCTGCAGTATCTAGGATCTCAAAATGGACAAATTCCCCATCTATAACCCCGGTGTGTCTGTAAATTGTTTCTGCCAAGACAGGATAGATACCAAAAATGAATACAGTGTACACATTTCTTGGCATCACTAAAACATTAAAAATGTATTTAGTTGAAGCAAGTATGCATGTTTCCAAAATTGGCAATTAAAGGATCAGTCTTCCCAGAAGTGATATTTAAGTTAGAGATGGAGCCTTTTGGTATGAGTCAGCCTCTAGCCTATAAAATGTCCAACAGTGAGATCTCCCTGCCATAGCTGCCAACTCCTTCCTGTTCTCCTGGTAATTGTAGGTATTCCTGCCCACCTTTGCAGGTTCCAGTTCCCTTGCTGTTTTTTACACAACATAAATCAATTAAAAACAACTCAGTGGTAACCTGTGGTATTGGCCACGGCAGGTATGCAGACCCAGAAACTCAGCTGCAGAAATCTCACCATTAAAGTCCCCAAGGGATAGGATACGCTATCAGATGGTTTAATATCTACCAAAAACTGAGATATCATAATTGGGTGGACTGAACCTTTAAACGTTTTTTTAAAAAGTGTTAGGAAATAAAAGAACAATATCCACTATAGCTGGAGTCACACATTGCATTTTAGGTTTTAGAACATATCTCTATTGGGAGCACATAAAACTAAATGGAAACCATTCACAACAGAAATTGAAAATATTTTTTTCAATTATATAACAACAATGTATTATACAAGGACTTAGAATGTAACTACTAGGCTTTCAATGCTACCTTTTAAATCAGAAGTGTATTGCAAAAGTTTTAGTTGGGTGTGCAAAAATTCTGTAATTTAAGAATGCCTTCAAAAATAGTCTAAATAGTTTTAGATTTATTTTCTGTTAATTTACTTTCCATCTTGTTAATTTAATAAAAAATAATCAAATCAAATCAATATTTGGTGTGACCACCCTTTGCCTTCAAAACAGCATCTGTTCTTCTAGGTACTCTTGCACACAGTTTTTGAAGAAACTCGGCAGGTAGGTTGTCCCAGAGATTTTGGAGAGCTAACCACAGATCTGTGGTTGTAGGCTGCCTCATATCCTTTTGTCTCTTCATGTAATCCTAGACAGACTTGATTATGTTAAGATCAGGGCTCTGTGGGGGCCAAACCATCACTTCCAGGAGTTTTTGTTCTTCTTTACAGTGAAGATAGTTCTTAATGACATTGGCTATAGATTTGGGGTCGTTGTCCTGCTGCAGAATACACTTGGGACCATTCACACGCCTCCATGATGATATAGCATGATTGATAAGTATCTGTCTGTATTTCTCAGCAATGAGGACACCATTAATCCTGACCAGCGGTCTCCAAACTGCGGCCCGAGGGCCGGATGTGGCCCTTTGCTTGCCTTTATCCGGCCCTCAAGGCACTTCACCTCCCACTGATACAAGATACTATTCCTTCCTCCCACCAACAATGGGGCATAATTACTGCTACTGACGTCAGCAATGAGGCACTATTTCTCCCACTGACAAAAATGATGGGGCACTGTTCCTCCCACTGACACCATTGATGAGGCACTATTTTCCCCACTGACACTCACAATAGGACACTATTCCTACCACTGACACCAAAGATGGGGCACAATTCCTGCCACCAACACCAATGATGGGGCACTATTTCCCCCCAATGACACCAACACTAGGGCACTATTCCTCAAACTGACACCAATGATGGGGCACTATTCCTCCCACTGACACCAACAATGGGGCACTATTCCTCCTACTGACACCATTGATGGGGCACTATTCCTCCCACTGACACCAACAATGGGGCACTATTCCTCCTACTGACACCATTGATGGGGCACTAATTCCCTCCCACTGACCCCAACAATAGAACACGATTCATCTCACTGACACCAATGATGGGGCCTTGTTCCTTCCCCCTGACACCAACTATGGGGCACTATTTCCCCCTCAATGACACCAACAATAGGGCACTATTCCTCAAACTGACACCAATGATGGGGCAGTTTTTTTTCCCACTGACACAACTGGGCACTATTCCTCCCGCTAACACCAATTGGGCACTATTCCTCTTACTTACACCAATGAAGGGGCGCTATTCCTCCCTCTAATACCAAAGATGCTTTGTTTACTCCCACTGATGCCAGGACAATTACTACTCCCAATGGCCACAGTCCGCCCCCCCGAAAGTCTGATGGACAGTAAACTGGCCTTATGTTTAGAGACCCTTGATTCTGACCAAATCTCCAACTCCATTTGCAGAAATGCATCCCCAAACTTTTAAAGAACCTCCACCATGCTCACTGTTGTCTGCAGACACTCATTATTGTACCGCTCTCCAGCCCTTTGGTGAACAAACTGCATTCTTCTACAGCCAAATATTTCAAATTTTGACTCATCAGTCCAGAGCACCTGCTGCCATTTTTCTGCACCCCAGTTCCTATGTTTTCATGCGTGGTTGAGTCTCTTAGCTTCATTTCCACGACTGAGGTATGGCGTTTTGGCCTCAATTTTTCCACAAAGATCACTTCTGGACAGATTTCGTACAGTAGATGGGTGTACCTGGGTCCCACTGGTTTCCACCAGTTCTGTGCTGATGGCACTGCTGGACATCTTCCAATGTCAGAGGGAAGTAAGCATGATGTCTTTCTTCTGCTGCATTAAGTTTCCTTGGCCCACCACTGCATGTTTGGTCCTCTTTTCACGTTTGTCTGTACTTCTTCAAAAGAGCTTGAACAGCACATCTTGAAACCTCAGTCTGTTTTGAAATCTTTGCCTGGGAGAAACCTAGCTAATGCAATAAGAACTACCTTGCGTATTGTTGCTGCACTCAGTCTTGCCATGATGTATGACTTGTGACATAAAACGATGTTCCACAATTTCTCCTTAGTAGAAGAGTTTGGCTGTTCCTCACCCATTTTTAAGCTTCCTACAGAGCTGTTTCTGTTTCAGTTATCCCTGGTTCACATATATGCGGCCATGCAGGCTGCGTTTTGCGTGGGCACGAGAACCCATTCACTTGAATGGACTCCCGTGCCCTGTGACACGCAGGAAAGAAATCCCTGCACTTCTTCTGAAAATGCAGCCTGCGCGGGAACCTCGGTTCCCAGTACGGTTGCATTTTCCAGTGCGGGCGGAGTGTCATAAGAATTAATGGCACCCGCCTGCGGGTCGGCATTCCCCTGTGAGGGTGGTGCGGCTGCACGGATTTTCATGCAGATCTGCAGCTGCACCACCCGCACATATATGAACCTTGCCTACATGTCTGTGTTTCAACCTACATATAAAAATTTAAATATATATTTTTGAAAGCATTCTTATTTAACAGCATTTCTTCACATCTGCCTAAAACCTTTGCACAGTACTGTTGATATATTGCTAAGTAGTGGAAAACTAAGAAAGCTTTCACTAGGATATTGATCTACTGTCTACAACATGTTCTCTACAGAGTTACCACTTCTAGTCACCCCTCCTCTTCCAGGTTGAAAGAAGCTCAGCGTCATGCAACATGTTTCTTATGCCAACATGCGCTTGAATATGCAAGTGCTGGAGCTGTCACCTTCATACTTCTCTAACTATTGAGTCACTGATCTGGAACCAGTATACAGATTGGGAGCCCCGACCTCACTGACTGTATTCTTGCTTTTGGTCAGTGATAAAGTTGAAATCTGAGAGAGTATAAAGTTCAACCTTGCAGTGCCCCCTCTTTCCCAAACTGAAAGGAATAGATGCTGGTTTAGGAGGTGTAGGAATGAGGTCAGGAGAGGCTCCTGCAGACTTTCTCCTCTCTGTAAGACTGATCCCCCAAAGTTCCTCCTCTTGCCTGACTGGCATCACCATGTACAATGTAGGACTAGAATTGCCTACAGCAGGGCTAAAGGTTAACAAAAAACTACCTGCCCAGTGCCCAGAACTGCATGTCCCGGGCATCGGCGATGTAAATTTAACATCTCTGCATAGCCTTAGTCATTGAACTCTTGTACATAGGTTTGCTTAATTTAATGTTTTAAAGTGGCTGTAAAAGCTGAAGGTTTTTTTTTCCCTTCATGCATTATAAATCTTCTAATACTTCTAAATACTCTCCTGACCTTCCCTGATTCAGCACGGGAGCCTCAGCTGTTCCGGGTCTCTCTCTCCTCATTGGCTGAGACACAGCAGCTCTATGCTCTGTGTCTTATGGGAGTGGCTTGGGAGCAAGCATGCACCAGTGCCTCCATAGCAAGCGGTTTGTTATTGGAGGCACTGGTCAAGATGGAGGAGACAAAGGCAGGGGACCCAAGAAGAGGTGGATTGGGCTGCTCTATGCAAAACCACTGCTCCGAGCAGGTAAGTATAAGTTTTTTATTTTTTAAAAAGTCAGTGTGAGGAAGAGAAGTTCAGGATCAGAACGTGTTGTTCCTTTAAATAATGAAAGGAATGAGTTGCCAACCCTTCATTCACATCAGTCTCTGCCCAGATGAAAATTACATTGTAATGCTTTTTCCATAGACATAAATACATCACTATTGAACAAGGGAACCCCATCATGATATTGCACGACAGGTGCCCAAATGAATAAAGGATTTATTTTTTTCTTGGAAATTCCTTCAAATGTGAGAGATTACATTATGTTAGAGGACAGCATGTAGGCTGCCCTAGTGCACACATTACATTTATTTAAAATTAAATTCACGCCAACCTAAAACCACCCATGGCATATAGAACTATCAAACTTCTTCAACAAGGCAAATAACAAAGTGAAAGAAGCCACATCTATAAAACAGCATTTACAATGCTGTAGGGGACAAGACTTGCCACTTTTTGCAGTGCCTTTTTGAATAAACCTGTATGTTTTTAGTCTAATATTCCACATGTATAAAACGACTAGGTAGCCCTGGTGCCCGACCTGTGTTCAGAAAGCCACATGACCTTTTGGTTCTTGGGTGACTCCCAGACCCTAGCAGTCCTTTGTGGAAGGATTGAACTTTAAAAGGGCTGTAATGGCAGTGACCTCCAGTATTCTCCTGTAACGTGTCCCTAACTACACCTGTAGCATGTCCATAGACTCGTAAC